CCCCAAAACCCCAAAACCCCAAAACCCCAAAACCCCACAGCTGGGTATATATATTGGAAGCAGCAAGAAAAATTAATTAAATTAGTGTTAAAATATGAATTATTCAAGTAAGTCATAAAGGAAATTAAGGTGAAGAGCCTGGTTTTGGCAAGGAGGTTAGAGGGAGGAGCTGAAAATTATGTGAAAGTAGGGGTAGGAGGCCTTGAAGAGTGGAAATAGTATTTTTGGAGCGTTTAGGAGTGAAATTTATGGTTGTTATGGGGATATTAAATAAGGAAATATGCTGATCATTGTCTTTTTAGCCTCTACAAAGAGCATCGCAACTCCAAGAGATATCAGGAGTTCAACCAAAAGTCTATTTTCGAACCTTGGAAACAATATAGTTTCCTCTAGAGATAGATACAGCACAAAGAAGATTGAACTAGACTCCTCAGATCTTTATGAAAAGAAGATAGGCACTCCTCTTTCAAGTACTGGTTCCGCCTCATCATGCCTTGGAACTCCAGTGATTACCTAAAAAGATGGGAATGAGCAGAGTGAGGAGCACTTTTGATATCCACAGAGAACTGGAGTCTGATACGCAATCTGTCAGCACACCTCAAAGATACACAGGTAAGAACCGATTTACACCGTTTGATTTATGGTAAAACATGGATAAATTATTTTGACATGTATTTTCGAAAAACTTCATCCAGTTGTCAGGCATCCATTTTAAGATGGAGCAGGCTGGAAGGTTCCAATATATATAGTTATCGTTTAAATCAATACAGGAAGAGTCTTTGGTCAACCTAATGTTCTTTGACCTGCTCTTCCGAATTTTTCATAAAATAATCAGCTCAGCTTTAGAATTATTTTTCTTAATAACAATCAACTAATCTCTCTTACATCAATCTCTGCCAAACCCTAACTTACCATTACCCATGGTTGCTTAAGATCATCAAGATAGGGTACAGCAAGCATGTTTGCTATTTTTAAATCCATTTCTCTTTTACTTGTTACTAGTATTAATATAGATTTTGATCAACATCATGCAAAGAAATATAACTTTCAAAGGAGGATGAAGGAAGACATTTTTGATAAATCTCACTTCTATCTTGGATACTCTTCCAATAAGAGAAGTGATCTAGGTAACAGACTTAAGGCGATTGAGAAGTCAGTCTCCACTCCTGTACAAGGTAAGACATAGAAACATTTTTAGAATTTTGGAATTTTGTTAATTTCATGACTAGTTAAGCTAATTATGTATAGATTTAACACATAGAAGTCTGGGAAAGAGCACTTTCAAGTCGATGACAATCCCAAAACATTTTTGCACAGATAAAATATAACTTCACTTAATTCAATTTTCACAAAGAAAAAAGGGGTTTTGGGGTTTTGGGGTTTTGGGGTTTTGGGG